ACGGGACCTCTGGTTGTCAGTCCCGTCATTATGCAACATTTACAAACAGAGTGGACGTGTTGCGCCTGCCCCCCCCCCCCCGACACACACACATTGTCTGACGTACTTAAAAAGATAAAAAATACCCGCCATTTTCCCCCTTTTGTGACCGATGCTACGATGCAATTACTTCCACGTTCTTTATACAGGACATACGTCACACCGCGTAGACAACTACGTCATACCCCTCTCCCCTAGCAAATTCTGATGCCGCCACTATACACAAATACATAGTTTCAGGTCGATCAGGTGAAATGAAATGAAGTGGGGTTTAACGTCCTACTGTTCTGCTCCGAACTGGGCTAATGAAGACAGGCATACGCCATACAGTGTGCTATGAGGGAAATTTTGCCTGAACAGCGGTACTGTTGCCTACTCTTATAACGAATTCCAACTGCAAATGGATCTTTAACGTGCATGCCAACGTGTACACCAGACCTCGGTTTTCCGTCCAATCCGAGTCGTTAAGGGTATAGAAGAGATGATGAATCTGTCGTGTCATATTCACAGATGGATAGAAGAAAATTCGCCTTAAATACGGATATAAAGATCAAACATGTACAGGAATAAGATACATAAATGTCCTCATACACAAACCGGAAGTTAGTGCCTGCTTGGAATAAAAAGCTTTGTGTGGTGCTGAGTTCATAGTATTGATTGCCTTTTATCCTAGTTCAGCCATTCATTTCCGGTATCTAAATGTCACTGCATTAATCACACAAGCAACGCCATTCCAGGCGAAATAACAAAAAGGTTTTATTTTATATCTTTAATTGGGGAAGTCGACTGACGCATTATGTTTACATTACGTCATAAAACACGAGTTAATGACATGCACATAGTTATTGTGTGTAGAGGCCGAGTAGGGTGGGGAAGGGCATCCAATCAAAGTGTGAAATTGATACTAAGGTCTTTTTTAAATTTGAAATTATCGCTCCTGTACGTTTATTTTGTCTGTTTCTACATATTTAAAATGTTTTTCTTCCTCACATTGAGTAAGAAGTAGGCCCGATAACCTGGGGGGGGGGGGCAGTTGGATGGCCGAATGGTTAGCACGTACGTGCTGTATCATAAGGCCTGTCATTGAGTCAACTGGCGTGGTTTCGAATCCCCGGTTGTACGTGACAAGGGTTAGAGTCGCATGTCCAACCTCGTGGGTTTTCTCCGGTTTTCTCCCACCGCTAAAGACCCCTACGCGCAAGCGAATTATTGAAATAAAATGAAACCATGTTAGTCCCGAAATGACCTAGTTTGTGTCAAATAGACGTTAAACCCCTGCATTCACCACCCCGGTTTCCCCTTGACAGTAGTGTTGGACGTTAAACCCCATTTCATTTCTGAATTGGCTATACTTGATTAGGAGAGCGAGGGGGAGAGGTCGAGATGGGATTTAACGTCCACTCGACAAAAACTAGGTCATTTCGGGACTAATTTCCATAATTTGCTTGCGCGTAGGGGTCTTTAGCAGTGGGGGGGGGGGGGGCGGAGGACCTGGAGAAAACCCACGAAGTTGGACAGGCGACCCCACTCCTTGTCACGTACAACCGGGGAATCGCAACCACGCCAGTTGACTTAATGACACATTATGATGCAGCGCGCACGTGCTAACCATTAAGCCATCCAACCCCGCATCCAAAATAAGAGATTTTATCAAATATATGGATTGTTTAATTAATGAATATCATGGAAGAATAATGTTTATATTTAAATTATTTACTTTATACAACATCAAAGGAAAAAAATCACAATCACGTTTAATTAAAATATCTATTCTCGAGCAACATAAGTCACGTGGATAATTTTTAAACGTCATTGTAGACTCGATTGTCTACCTAGCAACAATTAGTTAGTATTGCCACTGGTTGACGTAATCTAGAGTAGTAAACTTTGATCCCAATTATTTTAATCCAACCCGTTTCTCACCTTGGTATTATTATATCTACTGTAAGAGAATCGGTTTCAGACAAGTTATTTGCTCCTGAGTTAGACCGGTTATTTGATTATCTCGCTTACGAACATGGACGTAACGACTTTAGACATGTACTTAGTCATAGCCCGAGGTTATTTCTGAAATATTTTCCATGTTACAGTCGCCTGTGCGTCCACCAGGTGGTAAATCGGGATATTGCCGACTGACGCATCTCTCACGTTTCCTAGGAAACACCTGTATATGAAATCCGATCGTCATGTGATCTAGGAGTCCGTACCGAAGCTGGGAAGGCCTAGTGATAGGTAAAAGATGGCATAGTGCCGCTGCCCGGGACAAATATCCCTCAAAGTTCACTGTATGGCGTATGCCCTTCTTCATTAGCCCAGTCGGAGCAGAACAGTAGGAGGTTAAACCTCATTTCATTCCATTCCTATGAACAGCTGCAAATTTAAAATCAAACTGTAACTCTGGGCTAAGTACTAAGGGAGATAAATCATATGAAGCTCGCTGAAAAATAGACTAAGATGGACCAGCAATTATTTGCCCATTGACTTCAATGTTAAATGGCTGTAACATCACAGGATGTAGCTTTTTGCTTAACATTCCGTTGGTTCCAATCTTTATAGGCACAACGGGGGCCACATTTGGCAATCTCCGCATCATAATTTTGTAGGGGTTGACCGTTTAGATTTCTTGCTACGGGGGTTTGATGTTTAGTGAGGTGAAAATCTCACTTCCGACACAACGATTGCGCGCAGAAAGACACTTTCACCCCCTATTTCTCCGCTGTAATATCATCAGTATTACCCAAAACTGCTATGATATTGCAAATCTGATCCCTTTTCTTCAATTCTAGACCTAAAAGTCAACCAAAAAATGCAGAAAGAGGGGAGAAAAAAATGAAATGAAAAATCGTCTATTTATAACTCGCATTACATTCGTGAAATAAGGGGAAATAATTACTAATCTGAGCCCAGATGAGTAATTGCTTCCCTTGATCTATGTGGAAGAAGTGTTAATGCGCATACTTTAAACGTTTGTACAGCTACTAATGAAGCCATGGTATCTCAGTGAGAAATGAGTGGGCTCGCCCATTGTTCGATTACTGTGTTTACCTAGACACATCATAGGGATTTTCGGGCATGATGCAGGGCTCTGACCATCCTCGGTATCCGCAGTGGTCTCATTTCGTTCTACTCCACTAACCCCTTGGTTAATCCATGGGGGAAGACACGTATTCAAGTTATCTGCCGGTGATGATTGTGCTATTTCTGCCGGTGGTGATTGTGCTATTTCTATCGACCAATCCCGTAATCGTTAATTGCAAACGAAGTTAACGAAGGGAAGTAACTCTCATCGGGAAAAGTAAGCAAAACGCAAAGGCTCCCTTTTAGGAGAGAAGGTTAGGAATTAGCCAGAATGTAGCATAATTCTCCCCAAGTATCTCCAAGCAAAAAATGAAAGAAGGACAAATTATTCTAAATGCGTCTTTATTCACATCAAATTACAATATTTATATAATATATTATGAAGACCAGACAGGTATTTATATATGTAGGTTCAAGAGTTTTATTGAGAATGGTATCTTGTTTAGGCGGTTTCGTACTCTCAAAACTCAAACTTACACTAAAGTATCAACGAGAGTACCTTCGGCGATTCAGTAGCATTACTTACGTGGGCAAAACACAATCACCCAAAGAGACCACAAATTACCAAGTATAAGTTCAATAATAATAAACATAACAGAATGGAAATAGTTTATGAAACATTTCAGAAAAAGAACGAATAGTAATAATTATAACAAAAGTGACACATATATACATGTTATACATATTTGAAATCAGCGAAACATACTACATAATTTGATAATACAATAAAATATAAATGAATTAGAAATATATATACACCACTAAATAGGGTTATTTACCCTTACAAAAACGAAGTCCGTTTCATTAGTAAGACTGGTTTCTAACCTGTGTTTTGATTGGTTTGAAGACTCAAGCTACAATCAAGGCCGGAGCAGATAATTTGAAATCGTGGAAACCCTATGGATTAACCAAGGGTAGAATGGAGTGGAACGGAATGAGACCTGTGGGAAAACGAGGATGTCCTGAAGACGGATATCCTAGAGGGAACCACTACCCAAGGGTATTAGTGCGGGATAACACGTTTGCCTGGATGTCTCGACCTCTGAACTCATGAATATTCACCAAATCCCGGCAGAAAATGTATATTCAAACCCTTTTCTTCAATTCTACATCAAAAAGCCAACAGAGATCGCCATGCAGAAGGGGGGGGGGGTAGAAAGACTAAAACTGGCTTTAGTGGGTGACGGCGTATAAATAATTGGTGAGCTGAATCCATATATTCATACCGTTAATATATTATCAAATATCCAGTCCCTCACTATATATATATATATAACTACAGTGACCTATATCTAAATATAGCTGTTATTAGTCTCGACTATTTAGGCGTCTACAGACTATAAATAAAACAATACTAATAAAATGAAACTAGCTTTGCCACACTATATCAGACATCTAATTGGCATTTACATTTGTTCACTATATAATCCACGTAAAATGTTCTCAAATTGAAATGTTAATATTTAAAGCTGCATTAGGTAAGATTAGATAAAGAGCTGACAGTTGTTAATAGTTAAAACAAAGGCAATGAAAAGAAGTCAAATTACTTCACTTTGAACCAAAATATCAGCGATTATCCGGCGCACTATATGCCCAGCAGGACCCTGCGCTGTATACACACAGATAGCGATACAAATATAACATAGCCTCGGTTCTCATTACTACCGTTGTTACGAAAATAAACAGATTTTCGATTATCCATTGTTACAGTAACCGCGTCGACCACAAAACGTAATTAAATCTACTTATATCGCAGCCATCCCGTTGCATCAAGAGTTGATTATGTTCTTGGTAAGTTAATGTTAAATCAATAATTTATATAACATTTCAGGTCTAAACAATAGGCCTACAATACACAGATTTAACTCTTGTATAATGTCTGTTTAATTCCGAAAATAGTATGAAAATATCAGCATTAGATTGGATGTAATCTGATTAAATAGAGGCCCGTCAATAGATTGATATTGTCTACAGGATGATGTTAGATTGGTCGAATTTAAACTTTTAGTAAGCATATCAAATCTAAGATATTCGTAGCGTAAAAATTCAGTAACAAGTGATATTCCATTTCTGTATTCGAACATGAGGAATGGATATAGTCTCAGATTTGGTGGGCGGGGTTCTTGTAGCGATGTACTTTAATTTTATTATAATTCGTATTGACGTTTCAGCGACGTTTTTACCATTTGCCAAAATATATCTTTGTTGTCATTATCTTGCCATTTGATATAAGTAGTAGTTTTCAATAGAGCGTTCAGTGATTTACTCATATTAACTGCTTCTATATCCTGTAATAATACTACTACTATAGACTCTATACTCCTATCTATAACCAATTTCTGAGCTAAACTCATTTCAAATTGACACCATTTACTTTTAGCAAAATTATTGGACAAAACAACAAGAACTTTACGGCTGTTTTCCATGTGTTGTACAATATTATCAATGATCAGTTGTCCACCAAGAAAATCTCTTTCGTGGATACACAACTTAATGTTTTCACCTTCTTCCACGATAGGTAGAAGATCATGTAAAACCCAGTCTCCATCGTCTACACAGTAAGCAACGAAGGCGTCATGAACAAAGTGTTTCTCTGCAATATCCAACAGCTGTTTAGGTCTGTATCTCCACATATAAATATGGTATTTAATATGCCAGATATATTTGTTGATAACAGATGTGATCAAAATAATACAGATAAAAACACACGTTACTGTTGTCACAGAGATAAACGCTCCAGTGTTATTCAGACAAATTCTCTCCGTAATATTTAGACATATATAGCCGTTTGGATAATGCCAAAACTTCTGTGGTTCGCTATGAATCCATTGAATTAACCAAACCAATTCACACTTACATACAAACGGGTTATCATTTAAAGCTATTGTTTTCAATCTTGTCCTCAACACCTCGGGCAACATTTTACTTGTAACAGTTTGAATTAAATTATGACCAGCATCTAAGTCCGTCAACTTAATGTTCCTTTCAAAGAACTTAGCTGGCCAGGATTTAATCAGATTCCAGCCAACATGTAAATGAGTGAGATTATGATAATATCTGGTAACAGTAGGTATTTTCTGTAAGTTACATTCTAACAGCAATAATTCTTCAAGAGATTTCAGAGGGGCTAGCATTTTACTTAGTTTTTCGTCCATTTGAAAGAAATTATTTTTAGCCAGATTTAGTGTTTCTAATCGATCCAATCCACAAAATGCACGTTCATGCAGACGTTTAGTGGTCAATTTGTTACTTGATAGGTTTAGAGTTATCAGTTTGCTGTTGTTGAACGCACATTCCTCTATATAGAATGCTCTTCTCTCTTCGGAGATAAACAACGAGCTAAGAGACTTGAAAGAATGAAAATAGTCTGTTTTTAATGAGTCAATGTAGTTTAAACTCACATCCAGGTACTCTAGCTTTTCCAAGCAGTTTAAATATTCCGGAACGAAATTACCAATCTTGTTGCTTTCTAGTTGCAATGTTGTTAACTTTGGAAAGGAGTTTCGACGAAGACAAAGGTTTGGTAAAGCAACCAACGTATTATTAGAAATACAGAGGTGATTTAGCTTTTCTAAGCAGTTTAAATATTCCGGAACGAAATTACCAATCTTGTTGCTTTCTAGTTGCAATGTTGTTAACTTTGGAAAGGAGTTTCGACGAAGACAAAGGTTTGGTAAAGCAAACAACTTATTATTAGAAATACAGAGGTGTTGCAGATGGTGGCTAACACCCGGGATGACGGTAGATATTTTGTTATTCGATATGTCCAATTTTTCCAATTTTTCTATCGAGTTAAATGATGTCATATTAAGTAGCTTGATACTATTCAGAGATAAATCCACGCTTATTCTTTTCGCGGATTTAAACTCAACAAAAACATCATGTGGAATATCTTCTAAGCGATTTCTTTTGAGACATATCTTGAAAAGTTCGCTATTTCTTTGGAAACTAGAGAATAAGTTCCTCAACGAATCTGAAGTGAGTAGATTATCAGCTATATCCAATATCTGAACCTGCGACAGATTTTGAAACACATTTTTGCCAATATTCTGAATTTTATTAGAGCGTAGATCAAGGATTGATATTTTTGTGTTGGTAATGTTTAAAACTGTAGTTGGACCTACATGGGGTAAATGATTATGTCTAAAGTAGACTGCTTTGGTGTTACTGGGAAATTTTGGAATGTAGGCAAGGTTTGCATTATAACAGCGAGCAATCTGATCTGCGCACTGGCATAATCCGGTTGAACACGCATCCTGACCTGCCACAGATGGAAAACAAAGAGCAAGGATAACAACAGCCAACATCTTACATGGATCTACAATCAAAACAGTTCCCTGTAGAAAAAAAACATATTTATTTTAAGACGGTTGAAATGACATGGGTTTCAATGCAACGGGTTTACTTGTGGTTCGTTTGTTCTTCGTTAAATGGGGGGTGGATGGCTGAATGGTTAGCGTGCGCGCGCTGTATCATACCGCCTGTCCAACCTCGTAAGTTTTCTCCGGGTCCTCGGGTTTCCTCCCACTGCTAAAGACCCCTACACGCAAGCGAATTATTGAAAGAAAATTAAACCATATGTTAGTCCCGAAATGACCTAGTTTGTGTCGAGTGGACGTTAAACCCCATTTCTCTCTCTCTCTCTTCGTTAAATAGTGACAATGTTCGTGATTAAATAGAATTTGCAGTTAGCTATACGAGGGTATACAAACCCTGTGCTTCCTGTAGTTAGAAGAGACGCCGACCGGAGACGAGGCAGAAGGACGGAATCGTTGAAATATAGTCATATACTATATTAATGTACCGTGTTGACATTATTGTTTATGTTCCTGATGAAGTTTAGTTTCTGTTTAATATTATGTTCCTGTTGTATTTATGTAGTTGTTTTATATACCTGATGCAAATAAATCATGTATTTACTAAACTGATATTTGTTATCACTATGAACGTGTTACAGTAATCGCGTTAGAAAAACAGTGTTAGCTCGATTGTCATTGCTACATACAGTTTTTACGGTAATAAATAAAGTATCGATTATGCATTTTTTAAATTAAATTATTGAACCGCCAATCGTATTTAAATGACACATCAGATGGTATCAGTAGATGATTGTTAATTAATGTCTAATTAATAGTTTACATAACATTTAAGGCATAAAGAAAGAACTGCAATAGGCAGATTTAGATTGGTAAATATAACGGGTCTCTCTCGCCTATTATTCTAGATATATTTAATTGACACGTATACTATTACTATCTCCCTGATAATGTCTACTACATCGTTAATACAGTTCATCGCGTGCATTTTGCATACCGATAGTTCATTGGCCAATCACGCTATTTTACCGATATTTCGCCTAATAGTTTGGATGCAGCTATGGCGCCAGGCAGGGTAAGCTTACTCTTCCGGACACCTGTTACTACTGTTTGACGTGTATTTTGTACACGAGGAGCAGTCCATTTGCTGATTACACTATTTAGCTTGAATACACTATTTTGCCTATAACGTTTTTTAGGACTTCGAATTTCTGTCTTATGGTTTGGATTGTTCGTACTTGGTTTTATTTTATTGCATAATACCCCCTTTAGAATTAAGTGAAGTGAAATGAGGTTCAACAACCTACTGTCCAGCTCCGACAGCGTTCGTATGAGAAATGACATGAACGTGGGTTTAACGTCCGACTGTTCTCCTCGGACTGGGCTAACGTGAGGCTGACGTGCAACCATAGTGGGTGAATTTTACTGTGGCGTTACACTTCATCGAACTATATCTGCAAAGGGATATTTTACGTGCACTGTATCACCATAACGATTAAACATACTTTCATTACAAGTTAATCCCATTAACGGTGTCCAAAGTCAGTCTCTGTCAGTTAACACAGGGGTATAATTTACAATTGAACCAAGTTGTAGTTTGTTTGCAATGACATTTATATTATTTACATTGCACAATACTAATTTGTATTGTGCAAGAGAAACTTTCATCTCACAAAAATAGGTTGGATGGCCGTATGGTTAAAGCGTACATGTCGAACAGGAAGGTTTATCGTTGAGTCAAGTGAAGTGGTTTCGTTTTCCCACTTGTCGGTGACAAGTTTATTTCGAGTGGACGTTAAAGCACATTTCTCTCTCATTCGACAAAATATAAAATCGAATGAAACGACTAATTTTACTTTTACCCAGAGGTCTAATCATATTATTTGTCCTATATCATACAATATTACGAGAAATAATATACTTGCCTTTCAACATATAGATATAACAGGTGTCCATTCGCTAACTGATATGAGTAACCGGAATAGGAAAGCAAAAGTATTTTTTTTAAGTACTTTAAAGGTGCAGTAGGCTATGTGCGATTTAGATAAATAATTGTAAAGATGCAGTATGTAACATTAGGATACAGAGTTGACTGTTATCGGTATAGGGTGTTCGATCCCTGCATTGGCCGAGAAAGTTCATTCAGACTTTCCGGCGTGGTTTCCCCTCGTCAGTGATGCAGGATGGAGGGCCTGATAAGGATAGCTGTCTAGTCGTTCTGATGGGACGATAAACCGAGGTGTGCACGTAAAAATCCCTTGGCAATTGGAATTCGATATAAGAGTAGGCCGTAGCGCCGCTGCCCGGGCAAAATTTCCCTCATAGCACACTATGCCGTAGGCCCGTCTTAATTAGCCCAGGTTAGGAGCAGAAGAGTAGGACGTTAAACCCGATTTCATTTCATTTCATTTCATTTAGTTATCGGTATAATAATTTTAAAATAGATAATGAAAAAGGAAAATATTGAAAATGGAAAATTTCAGTCCAAGTAATTATTCCAATGAAGTTGTGAATGTTAATAAGAATGGTGTGTGTGTGAAATAGGTTTATTTAACGTCCGCTCTTGCTGGACGGTCACCTCTGGCTTCAAGTCGTGGATTTCGATCCATGGTAAGATATTCCGGTTCCCCCACCCCCAAGGGAAAACCCATGCGTGTACACTAAGCATAATAAAATAAGGAAACACTTGTGATGTGGACTACTCTTATATCGATTACGTGCATGCCACATTGGGACCTCGGTTTTCCGCCCTCATACGTTGCCTCTTGTCAGGACCTTTATCTTACACCCCTGACAAGGGACACACTTGCCGGAAATTCACAATGAACTGTATCGGTTCATACCGGGATCGAACACCGTACCAGAAGGTTAGCGATCCACAATCTAACTCAATGAGTCACCACGGCTCCCGATGAATGTATTTAAAATCTTCCGGGTAAGTCGTTATACAAGTAATCGAAACTAGGGAAGTTTAAATTCATCCTTATTGGTGATCTCGAATTCCAACTGTCAAGTGATTTTTTAAGTGCACGTCATTGTGTACACGGGACCTCGGCTTTTCGTATCATCCGAACGACTAGACAGCTATCCTTGTCAACGCGCCGGAAAATCTGTATGCATTTTCTCGGCCAATGTAGGGATCGAACACCCGACCTCCAGGCTAGTGAGCCAGCATCTTACACACTTAGCCACCGTGATCTCCTGATATTCAATGAACAACGCATATCATTCAATGAACAACGCATAATGTTCAATGAACAACATAATTATTCACTGAATTACATGATATGCAGTGACTTTGCAGGAGTATTATTTTT